GCCGGCAACATCAGCTCCGGCGAGTTCGTGGAGCGGCTGCGGCCGGACCCGGCCCGCCTGCTGCGTCCCTGCGACGGCTGCGACGTCACCGCAGAGCACACCGTGGCCGTGCGCGTGCACCATTCGTTCCAGCTCGACGACGAGACGCGGATGCCGTACTGCGTGACGGCCGAGCCGCCGCCGCGCTCCGCGGACGCTGCCGGCGGGGAGCGTCAGGTGGCGCTCGAGCTGGCCGTGGAGCCGGTGTTGTCCCGGCGCGTGACCCACCTGCTGCTGATCCACTGGCCCGACCAGGAGCTCACCCTGCCCGAATCTGTGTACCGGGTGCACGAGACAGCCTCCGCCGAGGTGCCGCTGCGGCCGGGGACGGTGGTGACGCTCCAGCTGACTATGATGGCTTCAGAAACGGTGAGCCGGCGGAGCGCGCCGTGCGGCTTCACCAGCCAGCAGCGGCGGCGAAGCTGCATGCAGCGCGCGCTGGCAGAGACCGCCGGCTGCCGCGCCGACTGGATGGCCTCTGCCGAGGTGCGCGCGCTGCCGCCGTGCCCTCTCGGCTCCCAGGCGGCGCTGCGCGAGGCCTCGTACGGTCCCGAGTGGCGCCAGCGGCTGGTGGAGCGCTGCCGCGGTCCCTCCAACTGCCGGTTCGAGCAGGTGCGTCTGGTCGAGGAGGCGCGCGTGACGCCGCTGTTGACGCGGCCCGACACGGTCCGGGTGCACCTCAGCTGGCCGCCCATGATGCGCGAGACTCGCCAGCGGCTGGCCGTCACCGAAGGGGACGTGGCCGCCTACGTGGGCGGTCTGGTCGGCCTGTTCTGGGGCCTCTCCGCCTTCACTGTGCTGGATGCCGCGCTGGCGACGCTGCGTAGACTCACGGAGAGTCAGTGACCTTGACTGAGGTTTACAAACTCCGGCATACCTACAGTCAACAACTCAGTGGAGCGTTTCAACAAAATCCGTTTAGGTAAACTTTCTTTTCCGATTGCCCTATATAAAGGTACGCCTTGTTTGTTGTATGGGTGGACAGTGAAGGTGTTTTGAAGAGTCCTTCTACCGATGTTCTAGTATTCCTAACGTCTTCAAAGTTCAAATATACCTAATGACTCAAATTCCGGTGGCGGTGGGTATCAGATAAAACCATTTTTGCTGCTCCGCTCCGTAAACTGATATATTTACGAGAATAGGTATACACTGCTTTTGTTTGGGTAGTATTGTATAACGTGAATGCATTGTACAAAAATTTGAACAACAGGATGATCGGGTATGTATTGACAAAGGAGATCTCGTTACAGGCCAATATGCTATTTCGAACCACTTAACAATCGTATACCTTTCCTCATCGGGCATATCATCTCGAACCATTCTATGGGCGAAAGCGGAGTACGCCAAGGCGTAACAGAATCAGCTGCGCACTACCGCCTGTCTCTCCGTTCACTTGCCCAGTGATTGCGCCACCGCGCGTATCCAGGGCACGTAGTGGTCCACCCGGGTGTACACGCCGGGCTTCAGCGCCGCGCCGCAGCCCTCGCCGAACGACACGATGCCGGCCAGCTGCCAGCGTCCGTCGCCGCCGGGACACACCAGCGGCCCGCCCGAGTCGCCCTGGCACGAGTCGGCGCCGCCGGCCAGGTGACCGGCGCACAGCATCCGGCCGGCCGCGAACCGCGCGCCGTACAGCTCGCGCACCGCACACAGCGTGTCCGAGATGACGGGCACCACCACGCCGTGCAGCACGTCGGCCGCCGAGCGCGGCGAGTCGGGCAGCCCCGCGTCCGTCTTGCCCCAGCCGGAGACGTGGCACTCCTGACCGACTGTCGGCGGCCCGCTCGGCAGACACAGCGGCTGCACGTGCGAGCTGAACACCACCGGCCGGCCGAAACGGAGCCGCAGCTTCATGACGCCGATGTCGTCGGAGGCGCCGCTCGCCGAGTCTGACCGGTAGCCCGGGTGGCTGAGCATGTTCTCCACGGCAAACGTCTGCTCGAATTGCTCGCTGGCGTCGCGCCGGTCGTGCTGACCGAGTTTCACCTGCAGTCGCGTTCGCGCCGGTTCCAGACAGTGCGCCGCCGTCAGCACGAGCCGCTCGCTGATCAGAGCGCCGCCGCAGTGGTGCTCGAAGTGGCCGGCGTCGCTGTACAGCTCGATCTGCGCCTGCCACGGGTACGTGCCGTAGGTGGCTGGCTCGCCGCCCACCACGCGGTTGGAGGTGCGGCCGGCCGGGATGACACGCAGCTGGGTTCTGGCCGACAGAGGGTCCAGAGGCCGTCGGCCGCAGTCGGCGAACAGCTGCGAGCTCTGAGCCGGCAGCTGAGGGGTCGCAGTCGGAGCGGCAGCCGGTGTCACCGATCCGCTGAAGGAGCTGGAAGGCGCGGTGGGGGAGTTGTTTGGTGTTGCGAGCGTCGGCGGCCTGCCGAAAAATTGGTCCTGAGCCTGACCACTGTTGGGCTGATTACCGGGAGGCTTCCTCCTGGGGGGAGGTCGAGGCACGCTTCCCGGGCCGATAGTGGATGCCGATGGCACCGCCGTGCGAGTCGGATTCAGCAGGGTTGAGACGGCGTCGGAAGACCGAAGGTCGGGGATGGAGATGCCCAGTGTCTTCAGAGACTCGGTCAGTTGGTGAACTGTCGGACGCAGGCTCTCAAAGTTAGCAGCGTCCCTGTTACTCGGCGAAGCGCCAAAGTCCACAATGGCGGCAGCCAGCGCTGCCGTCCCTGCAACGTGCACCGAGTAGAACTCTGATCCAGTCTCGTCGATGACTTGAGGGGAGTCGCCGCACGAGCTGCAGCCGATCAGACATTGTCGATTTGAGCTGCGGTACGCGAAGAACAGACATTTTGGGTGTTCGGTGGAGTGGTACAGACAGTAGGCCGCGCAGGTGTCTCGACTGACGGCCGGTAGCGGGCTCGAGTACGATCCGATCGTCTTGCCATCCAGTCGAGAGTATATTTTCAGGTAGAGGGGGCAGCCGAACTCCTCGCTGTTGCCGGAGCACTGCTGGACGCCGTCGCACAGCTGGCTGTACGGCACGCACTGGCCGTTACCGGACGGACACGGGCGCACATCGGACCGGGAACAGTCCACCGCCGGCGGCGCCATCTGCAGCGCGTCCGCGCCGCCGCGCCCCAGCCGCGGCGTCGACGGCTCGTTGCGAATGTACAAGCTCCCGCCGATGTTGCTGGCCACGAACGAGCCTGGCTGAAAGAAGATCCGACACCGATGTTCGCCTTCGTTCAGCGCGTTGAAGCTGAATCCCACACAGCCCGACTCGATGTCATTGCAGGCGCGCGCGCACCCCTTGAGGTTGACACCGATCCAGTAGCGCACCGCGCTGTCAGGCACAGACGCTGTGACGCCGTCCACACGTTCGTACGGGCACAGGCACTCGTCGCAGAAGAGCTCGTCCCGGCCCGAGCTGCAGTCCTGCTCGCCGTCGCAGATGTCGGCGTTGTAGTAGCAGACGCGCGGGCGGGCGCTGGGGTCGCACAGGTTCTCGAGACTGCACTCTGTGTCGCTGATGAGCAGCCCTCGCCGCCGCCGCCGCCACTGCTGCTGCCCGCCGGCCGTCACCGTCCCGGATGCGTCATCGGGCGGCGGGGCGCCGACCCAAGCAGACGCCGCACTGGCGGGGATTTCCCGCGGCACGCAGCCTGCCGTGAAAAACAAGAGGTCAAACCATCTATTGCGCAGCAACGCAGCCTCGTAGCTCGCACTGTGGTAATGCATAATGCAGTCACTCGCACAAATTGTCCGGAAAAGGATCCGTTACATGTTCATGCACACCAATGCAATCTCATTCCGTAACATTGCACGCTAATGGACATAGGTAGGTATTAGCGCTGCATAATTATATAAAAGTAACTCCAAATGTGGTCTTGTGTGCCTCGATAATTTTGGATCACATGTAGATGAAAAGTGTCTAAATATGAGGACTGCAGAGGGCCCGAAGGAGGCCAAGCCGCCTAGGACGGGCTCAATAGCTGATATGCTGTGTTATGTATGCAAATTAACGCGGAAGAGTCGCTCGTCGACCGATATAATTTTGGTAAACTGTTCCGTTCAGTGCTGACTCGCGAAACTCAGCTCTTTAGCGCACACTGATGGCACGGGTACAATCGGATACAATAGCCAGAAAGTAAACTACCGCCGAGAGGATGACCACAAGCTTGGGACTGTAGTTGGTCCTCACTGGACACTCACCGCTGACGGGCCGGTCGGTGCTGTTGTCTCCCAGCTGCCGACAGCAGCCTGGCAGACACGCCATCAGCAGCAGCAGCGACAGTGGAGCCAACTTCGCCGTACTTCCGGTCGGCAGGTGGGCACCGCGTCGCGCTGTCATCTCCCTCTCTGGTCTCACGGAGCGTCGCACTGCGTCCCTGAGACGACCCACCGCACCCCTCCGCCTCAGCGCCGCGACTGACCCCCGCCGGCAGCGGCTCCGGCTCCGGCCCATCTGCATACCCGCACTGCACTGCGCGAGCCGGCACGGACACGGCAGAGGACGCTCGGGACGGGCGGGCCGCGGGACTGATCAGAGTCGGACAGCACAGCGCAGTGCAGAGGTCGGACTGAACGGACATTATACATACATTAGAACTGTTGTATCAAAAATGAATTGATTCAGAGATTTAAAGGCGAATTTACCTATACCCATTTTGGAGTTAGATACCTACCTACATGCCCGATCGTCTTTTTCATGGCCATGGTGAAACAACGTAGCTCTCGAGACTCGGAAGTCTTCGGTTTTCAGTTTTCGCCTTGGGATACAGTGATATCACGATACCTACTAGGTACATAGAATCACACGGCAGCTACAAATATAGAAGAAATTGTAGAGCACCTTTTGTACTCACACTAAGCTTCTTTTATACTTCTCAATCGCACTTATACCTACTACCAGTCTATTGCAGATCATCTAAGGAAACAAGAAACCCCGATAAGACCGGCGATCAATCATCAGTGATCGTCACTCTTCAAGTTCTTAGTCCACGTTTTAGCATGTTGTATTGTAACACTTGGTTTGTACGTTTGCATATATTAGTTCCTATACAGTGCGTTTGAACACAGGTATGCGCTGTGACGGTGCACACTGCACAGCGTGCGACTCGCGTCCTCTCGTCAGGGGTCAGTGAGCGTCACGGTTCGGAGAAGGCAGACGCGCCGCCGGCGGCAGTCGCCGCCTCGCGCTGCCTCTGATGACGCCACCAGCACGCGGCAGTAGGTGGCGAACTGCGCCGTCAGTGTCGCCGCCCCGTCTCCGCCACTGGTGAGCAGGGCCAGCAGCCAGGACGCCGGCAGACTAAAACACACGACGCCACATAGTCAGCCCCACCGGGGGGGGGGGACACACAGGTTCGCTCCACCCACAGCGTACGAAATCGATGAAAAATTGCCGTCTTCCTCGGAATACAAAAAAAAAAAAATAATGTGATGACTGATTAGCAGAAGCTCACCTAATCGTTCAGACAAGCCGGATGAGTGACTAAGCTCCCGTCGTGTTATTGTGGATGGTTCCAAGCGTAGGGAATAGGTATTAGTGGAAATCCTCGCGCGTGACGAATGAGCTCGGCGCGCATTGGCGTGCGGCTGCAACCGCATATCCGCAGCACGGCAAACTACCCTGAAAGTGCGTCATATGTCCCGCTCTGATGCGAACCCAGCGCACTCACACGCGTGACCCACACGCAGCGGAGGGTGGCGCGGGGACATAGCGGGGACGTATAGCTCCCGGAACCGTGCGCGTCCCCCTTCCATGAGAACCTCTACTGCCCGAGCCTCACCTGGCTAGGCGAGCCTGTAGACCTCCATTGGGGAGAGCCTCGTCCAGACTCTGCAGTCCCCGGCAGAGCAGCTGCGCGGGACAGCTCCCACCACGGCCGTGCCGTGGGTCACCCCCGCCGCTGGTCCGGGCCACGGCGGCCAACCAATCGGACGGCACCTCCCAGCCTGCGGCCAGCCAGCAACAGCAGCACTCGGTTAGGCACGGCAACGACAGTGCATTGTTCAACACAAAGTGTCAGCACTCAGCTTAACATAGTTTAGCTCACCGCTCCTAAGGGTGGATGAGGATGGTCCAGTTAACTCCAGAACCGCATAAGAATCGCATTTGAATTATATTTGGTGATATTTTAATTCTGATATTTGATTTGTTGGTAATTGCCGTCCAGGATCCATTTGCTTATTTTTACTGGTTTAGACACTTTCACCTACTCCAACTAAACTGATGCATCGGAAATGGAAGATACCTTTTGCAATTCCTGCGACTTTCAAGCTACCATTCGCAGTTCGTCAATGACAGACTGAGCTCGTCGATTGTCAACGACGCGAAGTGTTCCACGGAATGAAGACTTTTTAAAACAAAGAGCGGAACGTCTGAATACCTAATACCTATAGACTAGACCTCACGACTGATTGATCAATGTGGAGTCGTAGAACATACTAAATGACTGAATGCAGACTGTACCGCACATCACATCACGGTCGCCTAAATGCAGATAACCCGTTACCGCACAATACGGTCGCCTGAATGCAGACTGTGCCGCATAACACGTTCGCCTGAATATAGACTGCACCGCACTACACGGTCGTCTGAATGCAGACGGCACCGCACAACAAGATCGCCTGAATGTAGACTGTACCGCACAATACGGTCGCCTGAATGTAGACTGTACTGCACTACACGGTCGCCTGAATGTAGACTGCACCGCACTACACGGTCGTCTGAATGCAGACGGTACCGCACAATAAGATCGCCTGAATGTAGACTGTATCGCACAATACGGTCGCCTGAATGTAGACTGTACTGCACTACACGGTCGCCTGAATGTAGACTGCACCGCACTACACGGTCGCCTGAATGCAGACGGTACCGCACAACAAGATCGCCTGAATGTAGACTGTACCGCACAACAGGTCGCCTGAATATAGACTGCACCGCACTGCACGGTCGTCTGAATACAGACGGTACCGCACAACACGATCGCCTGAATGTAGACTGCACCGCACTACACGGTCGCCTGAATGCAGACGGTACCGCACAACAAGATCGCCTGAATGTAGACTGTACCGCACAACAGGTCGCCTGAATATAGACTGCACCGCACTACACGGTCGTCTGAATGCAGACGGTACCGCACAACAAGATCGCCTGAATGTAGACTGTGCCGCACTACACGGTCGCCTGAATGCAGACGGTACCGCACAATTCAAGATCGTCTGAATGCAGATCGCCTGAATGTAGACTGTACCTATCGCACTACACGGTCGCCTGAATGTAGACTGTGCCGCAAAACATGGTCGCCTGAATGTAGACTGTACTGCACTACACGGTCGCCTGAATTTAGGCTGTACCGCACTACACGGTGGCCTGAATGCAGACTGTAGGTACCCATTATCGAGTTCAGTGACTGTCCACATATCATGGGAAGTCTGGATGTAGACTACCGCGTCTGCATAACACGCTCCCGGCCCTGAATGCAGCCCGTAACTCAGCGGCTGCCGTACCGATCAGTCAGTCACCTGCATCCAGGCTTATTTCCTGCCCTCGGGCGATAGGACCTTTTCACGGAGATAGCGGCGACATTCGGCCTTCAGGGGTTTCAGGAAGCAAATATTCCACAACAAGAATTCCGCGCTTGAAGGCCTTTAATTTAACCCTCGCCGGACCTATTGGTTTTCTTCATACCGAGGGGAAGGTCCGAAGGGGGCGGGGGTACGACCCCCCTCGCTGTTTCGCCCCTAATGGAGCTAGAGCCTCGCGGAAGAACGAACGTGTGCGCCCGTTACGAGACGCAGCGATTGGTACCCGATCATAAGGTCTCAGGTCAAACGGTGACCTCTGAGGTCAGGTCAACTGGCCCAAGGCAAGGGCTAGGTTTTTGGTAAATAACTTCGCAAAATGGGCACAGAACCGCTATTTTGGCACCTTCGTGCTAGTCTAGATCAGGGGCGTCGAGTGGTATACTTTTTTGTTAGGGTGAGGTCAACTTAACCCTCGCCGGCACAGGCCATTTTAAGTCCTTCGCTTCGACGGCACAAGGGGGGTTGGTACGACCCCCTCGCGTTTGGCCCCTGATGGAGCTAGAGCTTTACAGAAAAACGAGCGTGTTGCCCGTCACGAGAGGAAGCCAATGATACCCAATTTTAAGGTCCTAGGTCATCGGCTGACCTTCCAGGTCAGGTCAATGACCCAAAAATCGGGAATATCGGGATCTGTTAGAAAGTCGTAAAGTGTGGTTGCTAAGGGGTTTTCCGGGGTGCTGATCACAGTCGTGTTAGTTTTGATCACAGATGATTTCGATAAGCGTTTAGACCAGGTCGGGCCAGGTCAGGTCAGGTCAACCGGCAGTAGCGGCGGAACACCTTCAATTAAGGGGGGCACTGCCGACTTTTGGTCCACCTTTGCCGACTTTTTTTTTTGGGGGGGGGGGGGCACGGTGCCCGGTGCCCCCTCCGCCTATGTCAACCGGTAGGGGTCGTGACGGGTATTCGTAGTACCTGTCATCCGCCTCTGACAGCTTCGTAACATGTTACGAAGGCACCAAAACAACTTCGTAAATGTTCAAATGGTTGTTAAATTCGAATTCAGCTAAAAAAACTAGCCTAGAAACATGTACCTAAAACTCGAAAAAGTGAACCGAGGTCACCAAAGGTCAATGACCTGACCTGACCTTCAGGCGACCATGACACCCACCCTAATGAATGGGAGCAACATCAAATCACATGTTTGAACGTTTGAAACCACGAAAAGCTTGCAAACGCGCGGCTAATGCGAGCCGACATACGCCGAATCGCGATTCCGGCCAAACATGGCCTTGGAAAAGAGGTCACAGGTCAAAGGTCATTTGGGTCAGGGTCATGAAATTTTTAGGGTAGGTGTAAAATTGATCAAGGCGAGGGTACTGAAAGTTCCGTGGTGATCGGCCGCTTTTTACGCGAGTTATTCGCGAAAAACCTTGGGGGGGGGGGGTGCATCAACCCCTCTGTGCCGGCGAGGGTTAACGTTTCCCTGTATAGGGGGGGGGGATCGAGCTGACCCCCTTGGTTTTTCGCAAATAACTTGCGTAAAAAGCGGCGGATCGTGACGAAACCTTTAGTACCCTCGCGTTAATCAATTTTATGCCTACTCTGAAAATTTCTGACCCTGACCCAAGTGACCTGTGACTTGACCTATGACCCACTTTTCCAGGACCTGTGAGTGTGACCCACTTTTTCAGACTGTTTGGCCGGAATCGTGATTCGGCGTATGTCGGCTCGCGTTAGCCGCGCGTTTGCAGTCTTTCGTGGTGTGAAGCGTTCAAACACGTGATATGATATTCCTCCCATAGGTACATTAGGGTGAGTGTAAAGGTCACCTGAAGGTCAAGTCAGGTCAATGGCCTTTGATGACCTTGTTCACTTATTCGAGTTTTACATGCTTATAGACTAGTTTTTGGAGCTGAATTCGAATTCAGCAGCCATTTGAACATTTACGAAGTAGTTTTGGTGGAGCCGTAAGACGCGGTTGATTCATCCTACGAGTACCCGGCAGGACTCCTACTGGTTGACCTGACCTGACGTGATCCGACCTGGCCTAAATGAATAAAGACATCATCTGTGATCAAAACTAACATGATATTCGTGATCAGCACCTCGAAAAAAACATATGCAGCCACACTACCATATTCTAACAGGCCCGATTTTCCCGACTTTTGGGTAATTGACCTGACCTGGAAGGTCAACCGATGATCTAGGACCTTAAAATTGGGTACCTATCTATCATCGGCTTCCTCTCGTCACGGGCAACACGCTCGTTTTTCCTCGAAGCTCTAGCTCGATCAGGGGCGAAACGGCAAGGGGTCCAACGGACCCCCTCCCTCTTATACGCTCGACCGCTTGATACGCTCGATACGCTCGACTTCCGAGCGAAACCTATTTTCATTGACCTCGAAGTCACCGATGACGTCACAGGTCAGGTCAAAGCAAACATTATCAGAATTTTGGCTTATTCACAATTTAGGCTCTGGCCGCCGGCTAACAAGTCCGATCAGGCTCATTTTTTGTTTACGCACTTCTATGAGTATGCACCCCTTGGTATATGCTTTAGATAGGTACCCTTAGGGTACCGAACATTTATTTCGAATTTTTCAGGTCAAGGCCAGGTCATCCTAGGTCACGGAAATTTTATATCATGTATCGGTCACGTGACGCATGTTTAATGGTCCATTTAACTCATAGGTTTCGGAAACAGTAGGTATCGTCTGAGTCATTTGAGGTCATTTTCAGTCGCAGTTAGCTGAGGTCAGGTCACTAATTCAAGTAAAAAAGGTCAAATTTTGAAAATGAAAGTTTTCAACAAAACAGGTGACTATCAGATGCTGTTTGAGCTCAGGAACACGATGGTGTTATTTATATCCTGCACCTACGATGTCAAAAACGCACTGAAAAATGGATTTGAAAAATAGAAAATTGTGAAATTTTGACTAGGAATGCGTACCTATAACTCAGCAATTCCTGAGGATATTGCGCACCTGGGTGACCGTCACGGCACGTGTCACGTGCTAATTCAAGGGCATCAAAATCGCTCCACAACGTCGGAAGGAAATTTTACCAGTATTACTAATTAATTGTTGGGTCGAGTGCTTATAACAGTGACCTGCACACCTCATTTTGGATTTGATCCGACAAGTGAATGTTATTCAATATGCATACCTATCCGCCGATGCAGTGGCGTAACATTCGACATGGTGATCGCCCTGATCGGTACCTATCTCTGTGGTGCATTCATTTACTCGTCTCCCTGCCGCGGAGACCCCGACCCGCTGCCTGCCCGCCCTCCCGTCCCATTTCACACTGCCGTTTACCTGTCTCCTTGCCGAAGAGACTCGCCGCCCGTCCTCCCGCCCCTGCCGGCGCTGCTGTCGTTGTTGTCGTCGTCGTCGCAAGTACAGCGGCTGTGGCGGCGAAGGCTATGGCGCCTGCCAGCGCCGCAAACCCGGCCAGCGAGCCGAGCATGCCGCCGTAGCAGTCGCACTCCTCCAGCATGCTGCGTCCGCCGGCCGCCGGCCGCGGCAGCGAGACCGGGCTGCGGGCCGCCTCAGCCAGCCGGCCGGCCGCGCCGCAGGTGACACTCAGCAGGCGGTCCGGGTCGACCAGTGCCACCCGCAGCGCCGCCCGCAGCCGGGGCGGCACCAGCGCGGCCAGCGGCGTCGCCTGCTGGCTGCGACCGGTGCCGCCGCTGGCCAGCTGCTGCACCAGCGCGGCGCCCAGCGCACCCAGCGCCGCGCCACTGGTCGCCAGCCCCAGCAGACTGAGCACCGAACAGTCGCAGCCGGCGCGCGGAGACACGGCAGCGCCTTCTGACGGTGCCGGGTGAGGTCGCTGGGCGTCTCCTGGCCCAGACTGACCTCTGCCCGACCGCTGTGCTGCGCCACTCTTGTCCTGGAGCTGGCCGTCGGCTCTGCTACGTTCCCAGCGGACTGCACGCTTTAGTCTGTGTGATCTGATGCCGTAACGAGGGCGGTACTGAGGACGTGGGCTTCTTTGCACACTAAGTTCAAAGGCTCTATTGATTTCATAATTGTTAGAGCCGACTAATTCACGGAACTGATCACTGCCCGTACCCTCATGGGATACTTTTAGTTCACTGATGGCATGAGTGTCCGTTCTACAAGACTGAGTGTGATAACGCACTGTCAGGTGACTACTCGACGGCGCTGAGGACTCTCGAGAGTGCTGGATTGACGGTGCCTGCAAGAAGCCGGCACCGCGTGTCAGCCGCTCACTCTCCGCCCGCACCGAATGGCAGCAGCACTGCACTGAGAGCGCGACCAGCAGAAGGGCGGCACAGACGGCGCGCACCATGACCTCATGGTGGTCACTCGGCGAGCGGCGCACTGGCCGGGAGCGCGCTCACTCCGCTCCGCAGAGCACCACGGCACCGAGTCGCCAGCGCTCCGCTCTCGGACGACAGGGTCGTGACGACAAGCGCCGCGCACAACGATCCGCTCAGTCCCGGGTGAGCTGCCGCCCGCACCGATCCTGGCGCGCGGAGCGGGGACACGGGACTGACGCTCCGCTGCCGCCGGAACGCCCACTCCTCGCCAGTGACGTCCTACTAACGGCACGGCACCCAGCGCCGCCGCACTTTAGACGCCCCACTGCAGCTGCAGCTATGAGCGGGTCAAGTAGCCCGTCGCCAGTTCCATGATGTGGTCTGATGACTTTACGCCACTGCTGGGTGACGCGTGCCTAACGCCTCCTCTATATCTTTTCCAAGCGGGTTACTGAAAAACCGAGCGACGAAGAGACGAGGTTTTTTTTCTGGAACACACGGGGAAAATGTATCCGATCTTCCACGAGTGAGCAATGGAAAATCCTCCGACCCTTATATGTAGAGATTTATTCATACTTTTTTAAAATGTTATATTCAAATGTTTTTATTTATGAAAACGTTTCGAGCTGTTTGTTTTAATTCATACATAAAGTGAGCCATAAAGATTTAGGTACCCATCGAAAATCAACGCGCCCGAGACACGAGGGCACTATGGCACGCGCCCGCCGCACAATCTTTTCTCTTATTTTCCTCGATCACTCATGTTAGAACGATGCTGCGCCGTATGTCATTTGCGGTGTCTCAAGGACTAAGTAGACTGGCTTTTTTTGCAGGATATATCAGTTGACTAGGCCCATGGGGCTGCTGGGATAAATTGTGCCCAACATTTTTTAGGCCAAAGAGTGTTCAGCATTCAGCAGCCAACACCCAATGCCCAATGGTGATTCCTGAATTTCAGGAGCGGCGTATGTGCGTTGAGACGACCTCGCATTTCATTAGCGTAGCAAAGACAGTGGACGAGCAAATACAGAATGAGCTACACTGTGTCGCGGAGGCACCGAAGGCGAGAGACAGGTCCGAACGGGCCGAGAGGTGTATTCCGAATGAGTACAGTTTGTCAGCGTCGGTGTCGGCGCAGAGCAGCGGTGATTACAGGATACCGACCGGTCCACCGACCAAGGGCTATATTTGGGTCGGCGGCCGGGCTATGACGCGTTGGGGGAGCGCGTCTCCGAATGACAGCGGGTCTCGAACGTGTGTGCTCTTTACCACGATATAAGAGAAGGGAATCGGTCCCACAATTGCCAGGACTGGTCATTGGATACAAATTTACGATACATAAGTATGCAAAAGATGGCCTACCTATGCCAGTCCATTTGGAAATAAGGTGAATTTATCGATGAGTAATTATTTATGGCGCACCCTGTAAGTCTCAATACAACAACCTTCGGTGCTTCGGTTATTGACCCACCATCACTTGAATGCTTGAAACCCTCGAGAGTCGAGACTCCATCTTTGCATCTCGGAGGGATGCAAAAATAACATATTCTTATCTTTGCATATCAGAGGAGTGCAAAATAGAAATATCCTTGCACTGTAGACCCAATGGGAAAGAAACCTCGAAAGATGCTAATTTCGAAACGAGAAATGGAATAATATCTTTGCTTATGGTGGTCACTGAACATGATTGGGCCGTAAAAGCTCCTGATTAGTGCAAACTGCAAATATCAGCCAAAGCTACACAACTGCTATTTTATTCCAAAACCCCATGTCAAAATTGGTATATTTCTTATAACGGTTACAATAGGTCCCATGGTCCAAATCAAATGGATTTTCGTGCATAAATTACACTCTAGTCGACGATGATTCATGTATCCTTCTATCTGCAGTCAAAGATAGGTATACATCGACAGCACGATAATGACAGGTAATGATATAAATTTGTTAAATGACATGGGTTTTATCAATGACGTTTTAAGTACGGCTCTCCAGGTATTAAGTGGTTGGTTGCCAACATCACAATAAGCGATTTGCATTGATGAATACGCCTAGGGGAGAGCGGGGCCAGTTGAACCACTTTTTATATAATGACATGCACAGCGAGATCTAGTTGTCATATCGAAAAATGCACAATGCCATGAAAAAATATGCTCTTTTGGCTTTATTTTAAGATGTGTAAAATTATGTTTCAAACATATTTTGCTGCCAAACGCATGCTTATAAAACAGCTCTACGCCCGTTTCAAATGACCCCGATGCGAGGGTCAATTGAACCAGCCCATGGGGTCAATTGCACTTATCCTTAACAATGGGATGTTTTCCTCTTTAAGGTTACTTTCTTAAGGAGATATTTTGTCCGGTTTACTTTTCCAAATGCTACATTCAATAGGTCGTTGGAAAGCTAAAAGTGCAAAGTTCCTCAAAATAGGTGACATAAAGTACATAGACTATGGTAAAATAGGCGGGTGAGAAAAATGAGAAATATCTCAGGATATAGTGTGCTTTCAAGCAAGAGGCTGGAGAAAAGGGGGTCAACAATTGAGCTCTATTAAACTACTATTTCAGTTTAAAAGCTCATTTCAAAGGTGGACTATTTCCTTTAATGTTTACAGCCCCTAAACAATAACCATTGCAAAGGTCACCGGGGTCCATTGAACCGGCCTGTGGCCCTGTTTCAGCTGACCCTCAGAGAAGCGTTTCAATTGACCCCATCCGCTCCCGCCATCTCGCACGCGCCGTAAAGCACATGTCAAACGAGCTGGAGGGACGGCAGCATGCTGAATGAAGGGCCAAATAAGGTGTTATTCCGGAGCCAGGAGTTCTTCTTTCAGCAAACAAAGATATATGAGATATCACAAAATATTCATAAGAACGATTTCTCCCAAACGCCGCTCAAAAACACAAAAACAAGTGTTAACCCGCGCCCTGATGGGGGGCCATTTTGGCCCCCCCTGTGGTTTTTCTTAAATAGCGAGAAAACGGCGGCGCGCAGCGCCGCCAAATTTTGGGTACCTTACCGGACTTCAATTTGACACCTTCACACAAAATTTCAAGTCACAGGTCACCTCAGGTCAGGAGTTATTGAGGTCAAACTGAGGTCATGTTCGAGTAAAAATGAGCAAAAAACATGACATCTTGAAACGCTCACCAATTCTACAGTTAACAAGCAATTTTAAAGTTCTTTATGTGGTTGTGTAGAGAAAAGACGGCGCTACAAAACTGCTATCTCGGATTTTCGAAATTTTTGGATTTTGACCCCCAAAAATCAAAAAAATTGATTTTTTTTAGAAAAACTCAAAACAATTCCAAAATTTTTTCGAATTTCGAAAAAAACCGGAATATATGAGATAGTCCCTGCGCTCTTCGATATACATACCAAATTTTAGATCGATAACTCTTTTTTTTGGCCAAGTTATAGCGAAAAAACTGTTAAAAATTGATAACGTCAAATTTTTGAACTCAATTTTTAGCAATTCTAGACCTCGTAGCGCAAAACGGAGACCACCATTGAACTCCCCGTGACGAGCTGCATCGAATCGATACCCATTTTATGCAAAAATATGAACTTTGAAATTTGACCTAATTTGACCTGACCTTGACCTGACCTTGACCTTACCTTGACCAAAACGTGACCTAAGCTGGCCCTTAAGTCTGTCTGACCCACATAAGCGCATTTGTCATGTAAAATGGACCATAAAACATGTATCACACGACGCTTTCATATTGTGACCCCCAGTGACCTGACCTCTGTGACCTGACCTGGTATCAGTGACCTCAAATAGCAAAATATGTGTTTGAAGAACATTTCACCATCGATTATTTTCAATGAAATGCATTTTACACGATTTTACAACGCATTTCTTGAAATGCCTGTAAACGGTGAAAATTCGACCTTTGACCTGACCTGTGACGTCATCGGTTTGACCGAGGTCAATGAAATTGGGTCACAAGGTAGTTCCCCGTTGGGGCTATCCAACACCGTTTACCGCTTGTCGCTATGTTGCGCGGTTCTCGAGATCTGAGGGGGGGGGGCAAAATGGCCCCCCCCATCAGACCGCGTTGCTCGGCAGACCCCATCTGGGCGCGGGTTAAATCAAAATTACCGTCCGTTTGCCGCCCAAACGCCGTTGACAAAGAAAGTGGTCGAGCGCGGATGCGCAGTGGTGTCGGCAACGCCATATGTTGCATATATGTTGAAAATAAAGCCATGTTTCATCTGACCCCGTGTTTCAACTGGCCCCGCTCTCCCCTAATGGCTGTTGATAACCATTGCCGAAGTGTGTGCACGAACCCTCTTCTCATTTATATTGAGTCATTTTACAGGAGTGTCTCTGTCATTCAAAGATATTACACCAAAAGCACATAGGCTAACCAACCACTCTTTTGCTGGAGGGCCGTACATGTGAAAAGGCATACCTACCCCTACTTAGCATAAAGAAGACGGCACACAAGTGCAATGCAATCTTTTATTGGTAAATGAAGAAAGATGATCATCATATGATAAATGTCAGGCTCAGATATCACGATAGCTTGGTTCATTAGTCGATAGCGTATTTCACAAGCCACCAGGGCATTTCCGAGCTACCAAGTCATAATACAAGCGTTGGGTTATACGCATCAGGCCCCTGAAACTACCCTGTTCCCGTCAGTTTTATCAAATATGCGGTGATCAGTGCTGATCCCACTGCCGACCGCTGCGAGCAGCCTCTTCCGACGCCGTCCGATGGTGACCGCCTCTGTTGACTCTCCTCCTGGCCCCTCACTCTCTGCGGACGGCGCAGAGCGGCACACGGCCTCCCTCCGGGCTCACCAGGAACGCCTTCTTATCCAGCGGCATCGGGTGTGGCGGCGTCTGCGGCGTCGGCTTCAGCGTCAGCTCCCGCAGCATAGTGACCAGCGCCACCTTGGCCTCGAACAGCGCGAACCGCATGGCGATGCAATTGCGCGGCCCGCTGCCGAACGGCAGGTAGGAGCACGGGTGGCGCTTCTCTTTCTCCTCGGGCAGGAAGCGGTCCGGGTCGAACCGCAGTGGGTCCGGGTAGTACTCCGGGTCCCGGTGGATGGGAAGCACGGGTATCGCTAGGAGCGTGCCTACGTCGATGACCAGGTCCGAGCCGGGCAGCGTGTACTTCTTGGTGCAGACGCGCTCGGTGCGCGGCGCCGGCGAGTAGAGACGCAGCGTCTCCGAGATCACCCGGTCCAGGTACGGCATGTCCATGACGGCCTCGTAGGTGAGGCCGCCGTGACGCTCGACGGCGTCGTCGACCTCCTGCTGGACACGCTGCTGGATCTCCTGGTCCAGCGCCAGGCAGTAGGCGGCGAACGTTAGTAGCGTGGCGGTGGTTTCGTAGCCGGCGAACAGAAACAGGATCGACTGCGCCACGATGCTGCTGTCCGAAAGGATCCGCTTGCCATCCTTGTCCTTGGTGTCCATCAGCAGCTGGAGGAAGTCGCGGGTGGAGCTGGGGTTCTTCTCGCGATGACTTATCGTCTTCAAGACTGCGCTTCGGAAAAACTCGCCAGCCTTGTCAACGGGCGTGGGGATCAGGGCGGCGAGCTTTGCTGAGACACCCTGGACAATGAATTGAAGCATAGATAGTGGATCGAAGTCACTCAGACTTGCCGACATGGCCGCAAACTTGCTATTTGGGTCGGTGAAAGAGTTGCAGTTGATCCCAAAAGCGCTAGCTGCAATATTGTCCATCGTGAATTTCCCGAAGGCTTCTTTGATCTCAACCTCACCCTTGTCTACTTGCTGAGCGTTAATGTACTTCAGCAGATTCTGAGCGTTATCCAGTGTCAGCTGATACATCGCCTTTAGTTTGCTAGCTGAGAAGGTTGGAGACATCACGGAACGTGTTTCCTTCCACTTGGCGCCCTTAAGAATGATCAGCATCTCTTTGAAAAGATCATTTCCGAGCTGGTCGCGCTGATCGGTAAAGTGGTCGAAGTCTTTGATAGTGATGGCTTTAATCATCTCCAGATCTCCCACGAAAAGCACCGGCTTTCTGAGCTCAAAGTAGCCACAATACTTCTTTCCTCCGTGCTTGTGATAGAGCCAGCTGTCGAATTCACCCACCTTCGTGAACGGCGGTCCGAACTCGTTTCCCCAGGGCAGACATGGTCGCGGTCCAGGCACACCGCGCGACTTCCAATAGTCAAAGTTCTTGGTCAGCATATAGTAAACAAACGCGACGATAAGGACTATTACCGTCAGCGGGAGCGGCGAGCAGAGCCAGCGGAGCGCCGCCAGCGGCGCCGTCAGCAGACCCTCCAACATGGCGCGCTCTGTCACACCGTGACCTCTTCATTGCTCGGGGTTACATGAGCAGAGTTAATACGCATTACAAACGGACTACAATGGTGAGCGAATAGGAAAATCCGTTCCTGATACGCATTTACTTGCTCATGTAACCCCGGTAACTGTCACCGGCGGTCCTCGGGGGAGTCAGCGCGCACTCAGTGGGGGGAGGTGTCGCTCCACCGCACCTCTGGATCTGTGTGTCGTTGCAGCTGTCGGGCGGAGGTCCCGTCCGCTGCGCTCTCCCGGTGCGACTGCAGCCGCCGCCGCCGCCCATCTCCGTCAGCGCTGACCTTGGACGTCCCCATCGCGCCGGGCTGTAACGCCCACTGACCCTGGGGTGCCATATTGGCGAGACAATCTGCTGAGTCACGTCTCGGTCTCTACGACATGGCCACAGGCGGAGTCAGTGGGCGTCTGGGATCCTAAATAGCTAAAAGGTGTCTACTTGACCTTTGCTCTAAGAAATAAATTTTACAACCTTAAAACTGCATATAATGTCGAATTTCCCAGATCCCGCTACCAGCAACATATTTGCTACCGGTGCGTTCAACTATTGGGCACGATTCTATTCACCACCTTGACCTGGTCACGGCTGGATCCGCTGGTAGGCAAGGAAGAAGTTTATGCCTGCCTGGCCCGTCGCTTATCCCCGCCCGCTCATAGCGAGATTGAACTTGAATGAGGGCTGTAAACAGATAAGCAGATTCCGTGCTAAGTGTGCTGCGGAACTCGCTGCACCGATAGTTTCGATAGCGCTAATGCTATACCTATAGGACGCTTATGACTCCCGTACAGGGGGGGGGGGGTGGAACGGACCCCCTCGGTTTTTCGCGAATAACTCGCGTAAAAAGCGGCCGATCGCGACGAAACTTTCAGTACCATCGAGGGTAAACAAGGGCTTAAAGCCCTTGTTACACTGCCGAATTTGGTACACGAATGTGCACGAATATGCAAGTCATCCTATGTTGCGAACCGATTCGGGATCTTTCTTCCACGGTCTTGGCATTTCGCAGACCAGTCGGTGCCCACCGCGCGACTTTTACGGTTCGTCACGACCGCCACGAATATTTCATGAAAAATGAAAATTTCGTCGCCGTTCGCCGAACTTATGATAAACGAACATGATCGCCAAACACTCGCCGAGTCACCGCCGACATGTCGCTACGTGCGCCGACTTGTTGCCAAGGTATCGCCGACTATTCGCAACAAATTCGCCATTCATTCGCGATGTTCGCCGAATCATGGATCGGCTTCGACCCGCGCACGATTAGGGGGGCCCCCTTCCGTTGCCTGCAAATCGGGCTCTGTCGGCGAACTGTTCGCCTCTGTCGGTGAACGGTTCGCCGATTTCCTACACGACGTGATTCGGCGACAGGGTCGAGGCCAAATTTCGGCAGTGTAACACGGCCTAAGAGAGATCAAGGTAGATACCGGCTACGAGTATTGTTCTCATTTTCGAGAAAAGAATATGAAACATGGCACCGGCCCATATCACCCGGACCCATACCTCCCGGTGTATTTTGATGAATCGAAAAAACGCATTATTTATTGAAAGTTATCTCGAGATAAAATAGTTGATCCCAGATGCCTAATATCAGGCACATCTAGCAGGCGAAAGGCAATTTCACGTACACAGAGTGAAAAACCGGGTCTAGTCACTGCCCACTGGAAGAAAATTGCCTTTTCCGAAAACCGGCCCATACCTCTCGGGTCTCCCCTACCTACGTCTTGGGGTAAGTTTGGGGAAAAATGGATTTCTGTGCAGTTCGTAGGTACCTACTAGCCTAGGTAGGCATACTGAATACCGAATTAAATTTTTACTTCAGATGGTTCAAACGCAAAAGTTTAAAAATGACGTTGGGCCGCTTTTGTTGTAGCTCGTTTAATTCTACACCTGTTTCTGTTAACCCGCGCCTCGCTGGGCTATTTAGCCCGCGCGCCCTGCTGGGGGGAAGGGGGGCAGATTCTGCCCCCTGTCAAACTTCCGAATCGATGGTCGTAGAAAGATGGGAAAACGGCAATCGGAACACTCAACAAGGCAGATCTTAAGAGCTGATTTTTTTGCTTTAGTAGGTCAGAGGTCAGGTCAAGGTCAGGTCAAGTGTACAAAATGCAAGTTTCTGCAGTATCGGCCTTGCACCGTGGTTGCCAACGAATGGACTGGGACTGAGTGCCCAAAACGTGTTCTTGGCTACCAAGACAATATTCGTTGCATACAATATCATGCAAAGGTCAAGGTCAAGGTCAGGTAAAGTCACCAAAAACGAAATATAGAAAAGGCCATGTGCGCACGTATTTTATGGGTCATTTTATTCATAGAATTCAATAGGCATACTCAATAAGTGATATGGACCACATCTGGATGAATTTCAGGTTGAGGCCAGTTCAAGGTCAGGTCAACTGAGGTCAAATTTTGAAGTTGGTTGTTAACCCGCGCAGGGCCGGTGCTCCGCGACTTCCGCGCCGGGCCGGGGGAGGGGGGTTTCTGAACACCCCCCTGTCTAACGTGGCTCCTGGGCCACGTATAGCGACACGCGATAAGCGGTATTCGAAAGAGCGTCAAAAATCATGACGGAAACACCTCAGTCATTTTTCGGGTCAGGTCAAAGGTCAGGTCGCCAGAGGTCATCGAAGGTCAAATGTACAGGCCATTTCAACAATTTTGGGAACTGCCAACGGCTAACTCGGGAACCAATAGAGCTACAGCGCCTCGAAAAAGCGCTTTCGATAGCCCTTTTACAGGCCTTTCTGCGTATTGTCCTAAGATTTGACCTCAGGCCAACGGTTTAGCCTCCAGAGAGCAAAAAACTGTAAAAATAGCCCTTTGCACCAAAAACAGCTTTTCGGCAATAGGTTTTGATTCAAGCAAGCCACGACATTACTTTTGACAGCATCGTGTTCCTCTCGTCGAGACGCGTCGAATGGACTATTCGCTGACCTTGAAAGGTCATTTTTAAAATTTGACCTCAGGTCAAGGTCATGACCTGACCGGAAAGGGTCATGTTGCATATCAGTCGATCCGCATCATCGAGCTGAATACATCTGACGTGTTTTCATCGCTCTAGCACGTCTCTATCAAAAGTTAGAGCCAAAAAACTGCTGGTGACCGTTTGTGACCTGAGATGACCTCAGGGGCACACAGAGGGGTCACAGGTGCATTTTTCCGATTCAGTGTGTCATGTTTACTCATGAACCGATGTTTGAGAGGGTTTTGAACACCATTCGTCCACAAGAGGCGCATTTCAATTTTCTCCCATTGACTTAGGTACCTATAGGTAGGGTATGGTGCCTAATTAGCGACCCCCTTAATTTGAACCGCCATTGCTCACGCTCTGTGGGTGCCACTGTATTACTGGCTTGATTTTCGGAGAGATCGTTCATTTTTCTATTAAAATATAGTCATTTTCTGCCCCAATATTCACTAACTTATTTGTAGTGAGCATTTTGGCAAACCATTGCAAAAAACGCTAATAGGGAACGCTTCCCGATTAGCGACCGGGGAGGGTCGCTAATAAGTCTATGGGTTTCCCCATATTAAAAATGGCAAAAAATGCGACGCCTGAAAAGATGAAATGTTATCTCAAAAAGGTAACCTATACGCAAAGCACTCAATCACTCGAACAGGAACGGTTATCCAACACATTTACGTAAGTAAAAACTGATCAAGTGATGCACCGAAGGCGAAAAGAAGGCGGAAACCCAAATTTTGCGGGCTATCTCGTATGATATTCGAGGTCCGCGCTGAATTCGGCACCCCTGCAGTCCGTGACAACATTTGACATCCCCTGCCACACATTGCTAGCTTCAGCAACACCTCATTTTCATTTCTCACTTTTCCCCTTTCTTTTCCTTCTTGAGCTATTTGCGACCATGTCAGGCGCAAATAGGAAATATGAGTTGCGACACATTTTTAACCGCCATGCTGTGCACAGTTAAGCGATTCACTATGGTAAAACGCAATCAATTGAAAAAGGAATGTCGATTCAGAATAAAAAAGATGCATCATGATAATGTGCATCGCTTTTCATCAGAGAGGGCCCAAACACACACGTTTTGGATAAGAAACTCGTCATTTTTATTTAAACTCACCTGAAACGTCCCACCAGAAACATCGACAACCGTAAAATAATTTAATTTGATAACCAAAGTATGGCTGACCTTTTGACGATGTTTTTACCCCGTTTTCTCCTGCCAGTTTTTCTGTAAGGAGGTAGGTCGCAAATCGGAAAGGGTCGCTAATTAGGCACCTTACCCTAATGGAGAGGTCGCAAAATTGACGTGACCTTAGGTCACCGATATCAAAATTCCGAGATAAATATTTTGTACATACTGTTATTCTTATCAATCGCTAGAAGTTTGAAGGCGATCGTTCAGAATTTTGGATTTTTTTATGATTTTCCCCCAAAAGTCAGTTTTTTTAAAAAATAAAAATAGGTATTGGGCTCAAATCGAAAATTAAAAAAAAAACAGGATGGCAATTTGATAGACAAAGTAGAATAACGTATAACTTTTTGTTACGTCTTGATTCCTTTAAAAATGAAGATGTTAGCGGTGTTTGAAATTTTGCCGTTTTTTTAGGCGAAAATGGCGGACATGACGTCACTTAAACGTCATTTTCTCAAAAATTTTGTGACGGATTTCGCTCAATTTTTCAGGGAACGTGTTACATTAATAAATGATACGGTAGGTACTGAAAGTTTGACGTCGCTGGCGTAACGTGTTTAGAAGTTATTGGCGAAAAACGGGAGGGGGACAGCTTCTGCCCCCTCATTATACGCATTACGCATTTTAGTAAAAATTTCATAAATAGGTATAGATCTTTCAAATCCATTTTCAGTACGTTTTTGACATCGCACAGCTGACAGCAATATAAATAGCACCATCGTGTTTCTGAGCTCAAATTACATCTGATAAGCCCCTTTTTTAAAATGTAAATTTCATGTTCAAGATTTGACCTTTTTTACCTGAAAGTGCCCTGACCTCAGGCAAATTCAGCTGAAATTGACCTCAAATGACACAGACGACATTGTTTTCGAAATCTTTGAGTAAAATGGACCATAAAACATGCGTCACGTGACCAATACATGATATAAAGTTTCCGTGACCTAGGATAACCTGGCTTTGACCCTAAACATTCAAAGTACAAGGTCGGTACCCTCAGAGTATCTAAGGCATATATCAAGGAGTACGTAAACAAAAGCCGGAGGCCAGAGCCTAAATTGTGGACAAGCCAAAATGCTAATAGTTTTTACTTTTGCCTGACCTGTGACGTCATCGGAGACCCAGAGGTCAATAAAATTAGGTT